CTAGCCAGCCACAAAAGATCCCCATCCTTTCAGACTTCGATTTGAATGTGCTTTTAGACTGTAACCCCATGTAGACAGAGCAATTAGTGGACCCAGTTTTGTGCAAGTTATATTTTGGAGGGAGGCCTGAGTGGGATTTTTGCTTAAGACACAGTTTCCTGCTTCTTAGATTAAAACAATAATCATAGACCTGGGCCACAGATACATCTCTGAAATTGCCAACGTGTTGGAATTATAAACAAGTGTAGTTGAGTCATGTACAAGCACTATAGTATGGGAATGGCTGAGAGAAATGGTGGAACCTACTCTGACTTAAAATTACAGTTTCAGAGAGGAACGGATTGTACAGGGAATTAAACAAATGCAGGGCCCTGTGACTTGGTTAAATGGAGGATGCCTGCAAGAATTCTCTCTTGAGATTGCAAATTGAGCATTAGCATTTAATCCAGTCCTCACAGACACCTAACTGTTTTAAGACACAAGAGACTTTTATGCAAGGAGAGAGGAAGTCCATGATAAGCATACTTGGACTGTTTCAAAGTTGTTGCTCTACTCTAGATGGGACCAGCTTTCCTGGAGCACAACTGCTACTGTGAAGCTTGCAATCAAGTCAGCATTGAACTGTTTATACAAGTTGATTGCTACTAGAAACATAAGAAATTCACAGGAAGTCCCATGCAAGGAACCAGAGAAAAGGGCTTTGAGTTCGTGGTTAGTGGTTCTTGGAAGGTTTTTGATGGCAAGCACTGAAGGCAGAAAAGGCATTTTTAGAAGAAGTACTGAACAACAGAGAATATATGCCGCTCTGAAGCCACCAGGTGTCTTCTTTGGTGGCCGACCACCTCGCTGCCCTAACAGGAGTAGAGGGGATAGTGGAGGGAAGCTAGGGTTTATATGTTGAGTTCATGTTAGAAACTACCACCAGCACAAACGTTTTCCTGTGCTGCAGCAGGAGGAGCTGCTATAGCAAGGCATCCCCAAGGCAGCCATCGACGCTGGCTTAGAGAATGAGAAGCACTTGGATCAATCCTTGTGGGGAAAAAGATCAGCAACTTTTAGCAAAGAGTGGCTGAGCAATTTGAGATCTGATCTTAAACTTGGAGGGACTTCCTGAATTCCCTCTATTGGTATGGATAATCACGCCTCGAGGAAAACAAGGAGGTAAGACAGCACCTCCTGGGAGCAAGATGGAATAATAGAATTCAAACTAGGGCAGCCAGGTTGGTTTGGGCGTCAGTGTGGCTCAATCTGAGAAGCAAAATGGATGGGAGAGCAGCTTTCTTAAACCCTTTCAGGAGGCACTCAGATCCAGCTCAGGACTTAGGTTGATGACAGTACTGTTGAATTTGCTCCCAGAGGGGTAAGGTTGGTCGCATAAAAGGCATTTCTCAGGCCCCAGCATGAGTGACGCGGTGTCATCCTCAGGCTGCACTGAACATTGGAGTAAGTGACATATGTGTTTTATTTGTGACAAAAAACAACACTTGAGCTTGTAACTGCGAGGAAATGTGGTCTGTGGAGACCACCAAGGGGCAGAGACTCTGGTGGAGAGGCTGGGTGGGTGGGCTCAGATGTTAGTTGTGCAATAAGTAGGAGTGGGGGCAGGCTGAAGAGGAGGCATGCCTACCACCTTAAAACCCCTTCTCCAAACTGCATAGAAGGAAAAGAAAGGGGAGTCTGGGTTGAATGAGGGGATGCGTTGAGTGTGGGGAGGGAACTCGTTGGCCGCAAGTCAATATTATATTCTGACTGTGACTGTGTACTTTTGAAAGGGAGTTATGCAATTGACGTATTGGCTCTGGAAAAGTTGTAACAAGATGAAGGATTTTATTGCATTGCATTCAAAGGTTGTGGAGCATAGATAGGTATGTGGCATCTCGTGGGAAGATCAGTTAGAACAATGCAAAATCCTTGTGCCACCTCGTCCAGAAAATTCATCCCAAACCTCCTTTATTCTTCAAGGATTTAAGAGTTGAATGCTTCTTTCTTTTGCTTATTTTTTTGAGCTGAAAGGGCCATGAGGACACTCAAATTTATGTGGGTTACACTTAAAAGGCACATAAAAATGGATATGGCTGTTTGAAAATACAGTTCATCTAAGTATTACAAACAATTGGCCAAACTTTTTGGGGGGTGGTGGTGAATACTTTGTTAGTATGTAATACATTGTAATAATAAAATGTCATTGTAAAAACTGTGCAGCTGGAAATTATGTTCCCAGTGTTAGGACCTTGAGATGTACCAAAGCTACTATTGACCTGACGGTAAATTATTAAATGAAAAGAAGCACTTAGAATTTGATGTCCACCTTTCTTCTTCCTCCTAGAATCTGTACCATTGTGAATGATTCTGTTTTAGTAGATGTATGTGTGTGTATGTGAAGGAGGAACTTATTGGAAGCAATGTAAGATGCAAGAATACAGTGGGATCATATATAGACATGTTTAATAATATTAAATTATACATCATCAGGGGCTGGCCGAGTGGCTCAGTTGGTTAAGAGCTCGCTCAAGAGTGCGAGCTCTGAGCAACAGGGTCGCCAGTTCGATTCCTGGCCCAAGCTGAGCTGCTGCTGAGCTGCCAACAGGTGGCAGGATGGCTTAGCTAAAAAGAAAAAAAAATTATACATCATCAGGAGAGACAGAGAGAGAGAAATGGTGTAGGTGTGCCCATCAACCATATCGCTTAATGAGTGACAATGATTGTTCATTTATTCAATTATTTATCCATATATCTACCCATTCATACATGCATACCTAACCCTCCAAAAACAGCATTTGAGGCAGCCAAAATATATTCTATCCCAGTTCTCTTTCCTTCATTTAATCATTTATTCAACAAATATTTATTAAGGCTCATGTGCTCATGAAAATATATCTTTGAGGAAGACAGACAAGTCAAGGCCCATTGAGCCACACTGCAGATGAGATCCACATGTTAGGGATGCCTGAAGATCCCCAATCCAAAGGGCAATTCTCACCTCTCTATCCCCTTATTTCCAGAAGGAGATGGAGGTGAGAGGACAGCACTCACATGTCTCCAAATGTGTTTTCACAAGGGAGACAGATCCTTCCACATTTCAGCTGCTCCTTGGCCTGTGGACTCCCCCAGCCCTGACTAAGTCTAAGATTGTCTTCTAAGATCTTCCAAACCCATTTTAGCTGGCTGGTTTTTAATACAATAACCACCAAGATATTCCATTATCTCTAGATCAGTGGTTTTTAATTTTTCCACTTTTCTAACAGCCCAAATCAGAAGTAATGTGGAAAAACTTAGGAAACACAAGTACAGAGAAAATAAATAAGACTGATTCAATAGCTTTATATCCTAAACAAAATCTGATTGCTGAGCCTCTGCCTTGGGTGAGTTCTTTTCTCCTGGATGTGTGGCATTCTCAGGCAAGGAGGTGTTTGAGTGACATAGGCTTTTCCTGCATACCCCAGCCTGGTTTAAAAGGCACTTGGCAGAGAAGGTATAGGAGATTGTCCTGAGCTTGAAGACAGCTGTGAATGAGTCAGAAGGGACTTAAGGCCAGTACAAGACTCAGAGCCATGTTGGTCATAGTTTTCAAGCATTAAATTAAAAAACATGGTTTGACACGTGGATTACCATAGGACAAAAAATCTGGAATTAGAAAGTTCATGTCGCAAGGTGTTGTTGCTGAGTCCAAAATGGGATTTTGAGGCTTGCTATTAGTCCATCTGTCAAACTCCATGCACCTGTTTACATGGAGTGATATGCATGTGGCTTTTGTTGGTGGGGCAGGCAGGGGTGGGGGGGGTGGGAAGATGGAGGGAGTTGGCAGCAGAGGAGGAAGAGCGGGGAGACTGAAGTATGGAGGAAATAGCAGAGGGTCAGTTCCTCATGAGCTCCCCATTTAGACACAAGGCTTAGAAGAAAAGCCAAAGGGGCTGTTTTCATGAGGAAGTTGAAGACACTCTGGGTACAAGCAGAGCTGCTTTGGGCTCATGCACCACATGCGAGAGATGCTGTTCCCCTCACTCTGTATGGAACCCAGGAAAGCTCTTCTATCTCATGGGCTGGTAACTTTAAATGCCCCAAAATATGGCTTCTCCCTCTTACCCAAAAGAGGCAGTATTCTCCAACAGGCACCATCAGCAGTGGGTTCCCAGACATCTTCAGCTGAGTGGATGGGAGCATCAGGATCAAAGGTCCTCAGAGAGAAAATAGGGTAAGATAGAGGAATTCTAGGTCATTGCTGTTTATGGGGCTAAAGGAAGGCAAGCTGCATTATGGAAACAAGAGAAGACCACAGAGCAAGAGGGGACATTTTCTTCCAAACTCAAAATTGGGTCATATGATGGGAGACACAGTTGGATAATAGGATAGATAATCTGAATTCAAGACTTATCCAGAAAAATTGCCAGAGCAGTATCAGATTAATTTGAAGTTTTCATTTGATTAGATCCCTAAACTCAGGTTATGTGTGCTTATTAATCCAGCTTATTGTCTCAGCAGAATGGGAATCCACAGTCAACTTTATAAAAGCAGCAGGAGCCTTGCCAGCTAGCCTGTAGTTTTGGATTTTGTGATCTAACATTTAAAGAAGGTTGTGACAGTGAAACCTATTTAGAATACAAATGATCACTTTAAGTCTCTTAAAGGCTTTAAGAATATATTTTAATCATTCACTCTTTCCCTAAGCCCAGCAGAGTTATTCATGAATAAATTGTTATGCCTTTGAGTAAACAAGAATTGGACAGACTTACTGAATTAATGAACCTTTCTCTTCTGGTCTTTCTCATGGCTGTGGCAACGTGCATTTCCACTAGCTTTGTGAAATGCAGATGGAATAAAATTTTCCCCAAATTGATTTGTTCTACATCATTGAATTTCAGCTATTTGCATTTTTATGCCAGAATCAGATTTAGCTTATTATTATTGTTGAAAATAATTATAATCCTTTAATTTTCATGGCACTTGACAATTTTTTTAAAAAATCACAAGTGTTATTTAATTCCGTCCTCACTCTTACACAGAGGACTGAGCAGACGAGGAATTATCAAATGTGCCTTCAACTGCAAACTGCCCCTTTTCCCCAGACGGTAGGATGAGGTTCTGAAAGGAGAAGCGACTTGCCCACAGCCATGCGGCTACAAGCTGTGGAAGCAGGAATACAGCCCAGGGTGAGTGGCTCTGCCAGTCCTGAGTTCCAGTCTCATCAAGCCTTGTCTTCAAAGTCTGTCAAGTGAGTTTAATCATCTTTACCTGATACAGGTGCATGCTTGGTTGTTCCCTTTTCCTCCCATCTCCAAGCGATGCAGGTACCTTTGGGAGGTCCTGAAGCCCACTAGGGCTGGGATACAAAAGAATAAAGCCTGGAGGCTAGGGGTCAGCAGTCATACCACACACACATGCACATATGTACATACACACACGTGTGCGCACACATGTCAATACTCATACACACACACGTATGTGTGCACTAGCAGAAGAGCTACTCTCTGGATTTCAAATCTACAGCAGGTTAAGAGGAAGATATCTCTTCCCCATCAGCTACTGTTCTGGTCTCTAAAATCAGCTCCATAAATGCATGCGCACACACACCATAGACACATTCATGGCAACCCACTCTTCAGATCTAAATCATCAACCCTCCAAGTCCTTGGCTTTCATTGCCCATCAGTTCTTACACTTACCTTCTAACATATGCACAGCTTTTGGCCACCTCAAGTCCCAAAGCCTCTGCTTACCCCCTTCCTGTCCAGGGGTCCTTTTGCCCAGAAGTTTGGTGAAAAATGTAACAATAGCCTAAGATAGTCTCTGTTTGGGCCTCACACCCCCTTAGCAAGCTCAGCTGGAGTGCAGAGGCAGCTGGGGCTCACAAGATGTTATCACTGTGACCTCCTCTTCCACGCTGGACTTTAGGGCTGGAACCAACCTTTGCTGTCACCTTTGCTGTCTTTTACAGAAGGGGAGTCCCAGGTTTAATTCTGGACTTAAGCTACTCAAGAGAGGTGTTTTTCATTCATGTGTGGCAGGATAACTAGATAAACCATGTCTTATTTACCCAATGGCAGGCTCCTCAGGAAAGAATCAAAAGCCCCTCACCTGGTTTCAGTGAGGAATGGCATTGTCAGATTCTCTTGCCAGTAACAAAAGACTCAACAGGAGCCATTTTAACAAAGAGCACTGAGGCAGCTGTTTGGAGGCCCCAGTTCATGGCTCAAGGACACCAGGGCTGGCTTCCGTGGGATTGTCTCAGTCTTTTCCTCATGCTGTTACCTCACAGTCTCAAGAGGTTGCTGCGCCTCCTGGCGTGTGTCTGTACATCAGCCAGGAAGAAGAAGGCAAGAGGAAGGGACATTGCTAGCAAGCCTCTCCTTACATCTCCTTGGCCTATGCTGTGACTGCCAAAGGGCTTCGCTGCCTGTGCATGGGGATTCCAGAAGGACACGTGATCACTCCTGACCCCGCCCCTGAGGCAGCCCTCAACCAATCAATTACTGACAAAATGCAATGGACCAATACCCCAACTTCCTTGCCCCTGGGAATGGGGGAGGAGGGTGGATAATTCCAGGACACTTGCTGTATACTGTCTCCCAGAGTCCCCAGTGGGATTAAGCTTCAGTTTTATCCACTTCCTTGGTAACGCTTCTTTGCAGGTTTACTACCCTTCCTTGCCCACTCGCCTACTGGCGTCTCTTGGGGTTGCCTCCTAATTAAACTACTTGCAGTATAATCACTCTCTCAGGGTCTGCTTCTGCAGGGGAAACTAAACTCAGGTGATGGGGGACTTCAGGGTCAGAGAAGTTAAGCAAATTGCAAGTTAACAAGTGGGCAGCCAGTATTAAAATTGGGTCTTACAGATTCCAAGCCTGACTTCTTCACTCATCCTCTGAGTCTGAGTGTCTGACAGCCCTGGAGGCAAAGGGGCCTCCACTAAGGCAGGGCCCACCTTCCAGTGGAGGGCTGTGAGTTGGGAATGGGGCTGGGAGAGCATTCAGCTGCCCGTGGCCTCCCTCAAGTGTCAGCAGCTGCAGGAATAGCTGGTAGACCGATAACTCAGTTTTGAATTCTCCTTCACAATTAGCTCATGAAAGCTGTTAAAGGAAAGGTCAGCCCCTCTCTGAAGGCTGTCCCTCCTCTTCTGGGCTTACCGTAACTCGGTAACTCGGAATGGGGTCTCCTGCCCTGTCCTTTACCCTGAGTCCCTCTGGAAGGCTGTTTCCAACAAATCAGATGCTGGTCTCCCACAGCTGTGCTTGGAAAATGTGCCTATCAAAGAAGGTTGGCAGAGAACATGCTGCTTCCAGGGCTGAGAGAGCAAGAACAAACTGCCCTCAAGGCAAGTCCTCCTCACCCAGCTGGCCCTGCACAGATGCAGGCCCTCATGACTCAGCACAAACATTCTCCAAGGGGAGGAGGCAGATGACACATGTTGAACTCACTGGAGGCCACTCCCAGACTCTCAGAACAGCAGGACCCTCTTGATCCAGCAGACATGGAGGCAGAGGGGGCGCCTATCTGGCTCTTCCCTGCGCCTCCAGTGGGGCCCAGGCCTTCCCTCCTCTTAGAGATTCAGCCTCGCCAGGCAAATAAGCCAACCACAGACCCCAGGGGACACTGAACCCTTTGGCTCTCTGAAAGAGGAGGCAGGAACCTGCCAGGACACTAGATCTGGCTCTAGACATGCAGGGCCAAATAGTCTCTCCACAGTGGTATGTAGGTTTGGAGAAAGGATTCAGATAGGAGCCTATGGTTCAGTGGAAAGAGCACAGGACCTTGAGTTAGGTGCACCTCAGTTCTGATTCCTGCTCTGCCTCTCACCAAGGTCCTTAGGAAAAAGATGATGACAATGAGCCTACACCTCAGGGGTGTGGTAAGGGTTAGATGATGTTACATTTATGCAATTGCTAAGTACATACCAGGAACTACATAAATGGTAAGGCTATTATTAATACTAATGATGCCTGGAGAAAATGTAGAATGGCAAGGATAGTGTGATCCCATTTGTATAAAATTGTGGTATACTGATAGGATGTTTGTTAAAAACATTAATAATAGTTATCTCTGGGTAATAGGATTTGGGACAATTTGTACTTTCCTTTATTTATCTGTGTGTTCTTTGAATTTTTTTTTACAGTGTGTGTGCAAATAATGAAAATTGCCCATCTATAACCTCATTGAGTTCCAGTAAATGCTGGATTCTTGAGGCTCTTGAATGTGGACGTTTTGGATTGAGAATTTGGGGCTTGCTGAGTTACTCTTTATAGCAGAAGAAGAATTTGGGTTCCCAGGGCAACCTAAGAGGCAGGGTGAGAATGGGAAGGGGTAGAGGAAACAGGCATCAAGTTGACAGAAGCCCATGTGACCAGCAGCATGACCTTAAATTTCCCATGAAGTCTACTACTCACTCAAATGCTTGATGTGAGTGATTTTTGTTATGGGAATTGAAATTGGGGCTGGACTTCACGTAAGAGTTAATGCATATGAGGATACAATCCACAGTGAACAATCCTGTCTATTCCTCCAAGCATGAACAGAAATCTTGGAAAGCCTCTTGAACTCCACGGAGCATAGACTTGCTCAAGCTTGAGCCAATTTGTCTCGGTTACTGATTGCTGCATCAAACCATCCCAAATGTAGTGGCATAAAGCAAAAATAATCATTTATTATTATCTCTCACAGTTCTGGGGGTTGACTGGACTCATCTGGGTGGTTCTCACTTGGGTTCCCTCCTGTGGTTGCACTCAGAGATCGTGGCAGCTGATGTCATGATGAAGGCTTCTGTACTCACATGTCTGGCCCCTGGGCTGGAGAGGCTCAGACAGTGGGGGCTGGAACAGCTGGGGCTTCTTGAGAATCTATCTCTATCTCTATGTGGTCTCTCCACCTGGTGACTCTAGCCCAGTTTCTGCAGAGAGGCTGGAATTCTTCCACGGCTGTTCATGGCTCCAAAGGTGGTGTCCTGAGAGATGAGAGAGCCAGGTGGAAGCTGTATTGCCTTTCTGACCCAGACTTGGAAGTCACACAGAGTCAACTCCACTGCATTCTATTAGTCAAAGCAGTCGAAAGGCCCCCTCTAGGTACAAGGAGAAGCCAACATAGTCTGCATCTTTTGATGGAGAAATCACAAAGTTCTGGAATGAGCATGCAGGATTGAAAATATTGTGGCCATTTTGGAAACTACAACCTGCCACAAGACATTTCACAGATGTTGAGGGGCATGGTGGTCCCCAGCTGATATCTGAGTTACAATCAGGTAAAACCAAAATTATTTTCCTTCTTTTTTTAAGAGGCAAAATATTAACAGAAGTCACATCAAATCTAAGACTATTTAGAAGAACATGGATGATGAATTGGGACTTTTAGTGTAGCAGATTTACTGGAATTGGCTGTGAAGATCATAATGAAAATGAACAAGCCAGGAAAAAAAATGTTACTCTCGTTCAAAACTCTTTCTGGATGGAGACAGCAGTGCTGGAAATTGAACAGGAAAAGCCTGGAAGAGGGCCTGAGGGTCAGAAGGGTCAGGCCGTGGCTGTTGGCAGGGAGTGCACGGATGAGCATGAGAGAGATTGCCGAAATGAACCGTGAAGGACAGAGCCTGGGATGGGTGCAGGGCGGGAGGAGATGAGGGAGACCTCAGCACAGCACGTACGTGCTTCTTCTACGTGTGGGTTGCCCTAATGGGGACATCTGGGTATTGCCTTGTCCTACTCTGGGGCTCCAGCAAGTGAGTGGAGTGCTTATGGGGCTTGGCCTCTTTTCATTACTGGAGTCCCTGGACTTTGACCTTAGTGACCATCACTTGCAAGTGAGGGCCCTTCATCGCAGGAAAATCACTCCCTTTCATGCTCTGACTCTCACTGACTCTACATTCTGCATCTCTGTAGTCAGGCCTAGAATCTCTGATCCTAGACCTGGAAGAGCTTCGGGGCCATTTGGATTGGAAAGCAGCTCTCTCACCTACAAATCTGATGGGTGGGCATTGGCTTTCATGTTGAGAAGAATCTTGAGGTTGCATTTGGACTCAAAGGGAAAAGAGGGCCTCGATCAATTGGCAGTTGAAGATGGATGGAGTGGTGATACAATTTGGAAATCGTTTCCGGACTGTTTTAGGTTTGGGCAGCAGATACCTCTCAAAGCAGTTGGCCATCTACCTTTTCCTCCCAGATTTTCAGGGCTCCATCACTTCAGAAAACCACACTCATGTCTTCTGTACCCCTATGCTCTACTGACCTCAGTCGATGACAATTTTGGTTCTGATTTCTCTTTAAATTAGTTGTCCCCTCGATATTCTTTCATAGATTAGGTGAACGTAAGTCTTGAAAAGACCTTAGAGATCACTTAATTCTACCACTTTCTTTTACAGGTGAGGAAACTGAGGCCTCGACAGGGGAAGGTATAGTTACCTGCCAGTCTCCCCACCACCATCGCAAGCAGAGTTTGCAAAGGGGCCTGCCTGGGGCATAGTACAAGCCTTTCTCCCCATTGCCGGTGTTCCCCTCCAGTCCCTTTTCTGCAGCAGCTGGGCCATGCCGAGGATCATGCCAAAGAGCGTCAACCAGGAAGGCGTCTTCTTTCTTGAAATACGTTGTACATCAGCAGACAGGCCCCTCAAGACCCCAGCAATGCAGCGTGCTCAGAGCCCAGCACACAGTAACCCAGAAACACATGTGGTGAGCAATAACAGTCATAAATTTTATGAGATTATGTGTTCCTAATGTGAGATTTCAGGCTGATCTGTTTGTTGGCTATGCCAAGCCTCAGCATGATTCAGTCAAGTTGTGCTTAATCTTCTCTTATTTACTCTGGGTGAGGGTGAGTCATGGAGCGTGTCTCTAGTCCAGTCTGCTGAACTAACTTACCCCAAAGAGTTTGATGGACGGGTGATCTGTTTTCTCTGACTGTCCAGAGTTTATTTACTTATATCATTAGATGGAGTCTGGATCATATATATACAATGAATATCTGTAGCCATGCTTAGGACCAAGTCTCTCTGGAGAATCACTTGAAGCCAGTCATAGCTTCTTATTGGTCCTGACCAAATCATGCCAAATGTTTTGTCACCTGTCCCTTAACTCTGTGGTCTTTTTATCACAGAGAAGAGCATTTTGGCCCACTGCCCGCATCTTTGGCCCTGAGCCGTGTGGATCAGGCATGAAGGGGTAATATTCCCATCTCATGCAAAGATGTAAAAGCCTGGACGATTTGCCCGTGGCTGGGAGTGACTCCAGCCACCAAGCATCTCCATCTTCCAGGGTCCAATTTTTTGTAGCCTCTGGGGAGATGGGAACATGAGGGTGGAATATGGGGGCTGTGTTCTCAATGACTTTTTCTTAGCACTTCGAGGGGATGTCAGGTCAGCTTATATGAAGAGCAGTGAAGACTGGCCTGTAGCCTGATGCTGTAGGTTTGGGGACCTCCTGGCTTCCATGGATTGGGAGAAATGTGGGGTATGGGCCTTCCAGCATGTCAATGTCTAGGTGTTCTGGGGACTGGGGGGATTCCCAGAATGAGAGACTTTCAGTGCCAAAACCGGGAGAGTTCTGGGCAAGCTGGGACAAGTTGGCCACCCTAACTTTGGTGTTCCTTGACTTTGGCAAGTCAGGCCTTGTGATGTAGCCAGAGCTTTGGTTGGAATGGGAGGGTAACTCTTTCCTTTCCAAGCAGCTACTGCAGGGCCTCGGGCTCTGGGAAGACAGACTCCCAATCCGTCGCCACCATTGTGGGAGTGAGAGTATGCTCACAAGTCCTGCCGTTTCCCGGTTTTTTACTGCAAGGATTATCCCAGGTACACAGTGCCTACACAGTGCCTTTTTCTCTCTGCCCAGGGGTGGCAGCAGGTTTCCCTGCCAGCTGGGGGGCACTGCCAGACTCTTAGCCCACCCTAGGAGGTAGAGAAATCCATAATCTACATGGGGAGATGGATGAGCAGAAGCAGCTGTCATTACAAAGATGATGTGACCCTGCTGAGGGGCAGATTCTGAGACTGGATGTCAACTCTCCTGAAACCCAGATGATCTGAAGCAGTTTCAAGCTGGCAGCAGGTTTTGAATTTATCTGTTGCGGGGGAAATTGTGAGATGTTTTTGTTTTTGTTTTTTCCTTTTAAGGGTAAAAATCAGAACAATATGGTAAGCTCTTTGGTTATAAAGGTAACAACCATACTCTATCACACCCTGATTAAGAGTGTGGACTCTAGAGCCAGACTGCTGGGGATAATTAAGGTTTCTGACTACTTTTTAATTTGACTTTGGGTAAGTAATACAACCTCTCTGGGCCTCAGTTTCCTAATCTGTAAAATAGGCACACTGATAGGGTGGCTATGAGAATTAAATTCATTAATACACCAGAAAATTTAGAATAGAGCCTGGCACATAGTATTTACTCAAGAAAACATCCGTGAAACTAGATTGAAACGGCTGAGTCAAGCATGTCTGGTCACTTTGTCCAGTGGTATACAAACTTGTCTTGTTTTCATCAGAATTGCACACCAGTGGGAAGCTCTACTCTAAGAAATGGGGTGGCTTGTCACCTCTGCCAGCTGTTCTCACTGCATCTCAACTGCATCCCTCGTTCTCTCTTGCTGCCTGATCATTGCTCCCAGGCTGGTGTGGACATGCTATACTTCCTGATTTGAGTGTGGACCGAAGTTGAGGCTGTAGAGTTTGACCAAGTCCTACCAAAGGCCTGGGTTGACGGAAGGTCCGTGCAGAAACTATCACTAACCATTGGTGGGCAGACATGAAAATTCAGGGATCTCGATGGCAAAGGCCCTTCCACAAAGTGCCCTCCTGGTTGGTCGTCTGCCTACCATGCTGGAAGGCAGGCTTACCTCCTCCCAGAGGATGGCTTTGACCACACCCTCGCACCCCAATGCTGGACTCCAACAGCCCTCTGTAGGCTCCAGCAGGAGGAAACTCACACACTTTCTTTCACCTCATCTCCCAGTCACCACCACAAGCATCTGCAGGTCCACAGCCTCTTTGGGTGCTTCTTAGGGCAATATGTTGAATTTCAGCTCTTGTATTATTTTGGATATAACACTAATTTTACTTAAAACATCTTGCTAAATTAATCCTGAGCAAATAAATTCAATAGGGGATGTTTTTTAAATCTTACCTTTGACTTGACTTTTCAATCTATGTCTTTATTAATAGACCAACATTTCCTTTGAAAGAATTGTTTAGCGTCTCTAATTGAGTTTTTAGTGCCATAATGGCATAAACCCAACTTTCCCATCATGCATTTGACAATGTTTTAAATTTATGTTTGGGAAATGTGTTTTTAATACACAATGTTTCACTGAAGCTGAAGAGCAGTTGTATAGATCCTGGATGGTATAAAAAATTCAGTGGTGTCAGAGAGATTTTTACTGCACCATTCACAGTCAAGGAACAGAAAATGCCCTAGAATTATTTCTTAGAAACATCTGTTTCAATCTGTCATGTTTTCCATGCATATTTGCAGTATTGTGATATCCATGGCCCCTTGAATTATTTTATTCTTGATTGTTTTTGTAAGTGGCCTACTAACACTGTTTATAATCCTTCTCCAGTTGCATTATCTACTGGAGAAAAAAAAAACCAAACATGTTTACATATAGAAATATTTGCATTTTGGGAATCTACAAGTCTAACAAAAATTGTTTTCTATGCAATTATATTCATCAGGGGTTGTGTCTGAAACACAAAAGCATTGAGTTTAATAGCCAAAATAATGAGTAATACTTAGTTTTTACTTTATTCACACTGACTTTATTCATTGCATCTGCTACAATTTTAATTATTTAGTTTTGTATTTCAACCCCTAAATAGGTGCAATATTATCTCATGTCAATATTTACATTATGCATAAAAGTTCTGCCATAATATTATCAAATTTTGCTCTGACTTCTGCCAAATGGATAAAATTCCCATTATCATGTTCATGCTCATAAAGTTTCTTGGATGCTCCTCTGAACACTAGACCTTGCTTGCCAAAAATTAAACCATGTATAATCTGCATTCAACAACAGCACAGCAATTTTTTTTCCTCATTTTTGTAATTTACTTGCAGTAGCTACAATTTTTTTCTTTTAATCAGGTTTTTAAGTATTCAGCTTTTCAATACTATCAGTCAGACTAGGTCAGAGAATGCTTTGGGAACAACAATGGCAAGACTTCAGTGGTCTGACACAACCAAAGTTGATTTCGCATTCATGTAATACCCACTGCAGGTCTAGGTGGCTTCTAGGGCAGCTGTCTTTCATGTTGTGACTTAGTGATCCAGGCGGACAGAGATATAACCATTCTTCAACCCTACCATCTGGGACAAATAGCCTCCTCAGTCAGTGCAGTAGGTGAGAAGGCTGGAGGATCTTAGACCAGCAATCAAATGCTTCAGCTCAGAAACAACGGGATCAATGCTGTTCACCACCCATTGGCCTCTCCTGACTGAAAGAAGAGCAGAGATGTGTAATTTTCGTGCTTGTTGTGTACTTTATTTTATTCGTGTTTGCAAAGAATATGTGATAAATGCTGCCAGTCTTTGCACTCATTTCTCATTTCTCATTCTTAACTGTCTCCAAAGACTTAGCAATATAGACAAAAACACAGAATCCTTTCAGGAAGAATAAAGTAACCATGATCTAGTGGATTTTTTTCATTATTTGGAAGAATTCATGTGTAATAAGTTTATGAAAACTTCCTGTTTCCAATGTCTTTTGGGAAGTTAAAATGTCTTATTTGAGGTAAAAAAATAAAATAGTAAGTGTATCCTCATACGTAGTATTCAAATTATGTGGTCTTGCCTGGGCTTCCTTTTGTGTCTGTGGCCAGCTGTGGGTCGCCTTTGCTGATCTTGACTGGGCTCTTTCACATGTCTGGGGTCTCGGCTGGGATGACTGGGATGACTAATTCTGATTCACGTGGTCTCATATCCTCCAGCAGGGTAGCTCAGATTTGTTCACGTGGATGAGGCAGAAGTCCCAAAAGAAAAAGCAGAAATGTATAAAACCTTTTAAGATCTGGGCTCAGGACTGTATAGTCTCTCTTATTTGCCAAAGAAAGTTTCAGGATGGGCCCAACATCAAGGAGATAGGAAACAGACTCTACCTCTTGATTGGAAAAGTTACAAAGTCATATTGCAAAAGATGCGGATACAGGAAGGAGTAAAGTTTTGCTGCCATCTTTTTAACACCTCACAGCCTCCCCTTAGAACTGAGGTGGAAGTCCATGGGGATTGGGCTAGAGGACATCTGAATTATAGACCCAGACTTGCTCAGAATCACCCTTGCTCCCAGGACTGGTCGTTTGACCTTGACCATGTTCAGACATGCCAGTACCATGGTAGTGGGTACCGCCAAAGTTCAAGCTGGACACAAAGAATGTGAGAAGGGCCGAGATATGGCTGCTAAAGCTCACCAGGAACTGGGGGAAGGTACTCTTCGAAAGTCTCCGGAGTAACTTTCTCCTTCCTAGCCTCCTGCTTATTGGTATCACTTCCCCAGGACCACCAAAGGCAATCAAGTCACTCTTGGGTGGACTCCCCATCAGGGGAAAATGGCTACAATATTTGCTCCCTGAGTGTGACTAAGGGAGGGCGGAAGGGAAGAAGAGAGGATCATTTGAGTGCATCCTGGCCTTGCTGTGACCAAACGTCATGCTGCCCATCTTTTTTAACTGAGAAGGGGAGCC